AAATAGCTAAATTAACGGATAAAGCATGCACAATAATTCTTACATACGTTTTAAATAAATAAAATCTCCAAGCAGTACACAAAGGCTATTACTTCCTGTCTTTTTAACTGTCCTGTTCAGACACAATTAAAGGGTGTTGATTGTGATTTCCAGCCCGAGATCTGACAGATAAATGAACATCTTTCCCCGCTCTGCTCTTGACTCGGCGAGGCTACTGCAGGTTTTTTTTAAAGCGGATACTTGGCGCTGATAAATCCCCTGAACTCCCCTCTCCAGCAAGGCTATGAATTTTGATGTGTCTTTGTGTGTGGCAGACAGGAGAGGGAAGCAGAGTGGGGTTAGAGTGATTAACAAGCGCGTCGATGGGGACTTAGAGCGGATCGTGGTTAGTGATGGGTGGCCTATCTCCCCGACTAACCGCTGATCCCCAAGAGGCTTCAGCTCAGCTCAGCTCAGCAGCCCAAAGCATTTTCATTAAGGATGGATTGAGTCTATCTCAACAGTCCCCCAACACACACCTTCAGAAACACTTCATCAAATGTAGTGTTTTGCTTAGTGATTAGCCTCTCCCAGGCTTTGAGAGAGTGAGACTGATTCCTCTGTTTATAAACCCACAGTCAAATCTGCCCTTTTCCAATATCCCCTTAATGAAGTAGGCCTTTCTCTGCGAGGGGAACACAAAAACCACCTTTTCAAATGGAGCCAAAGAGCAAAAGAAGGGGTGGACGGCGGAGAAGGGAGTGCGTAGTCGCGCACATATAGCTACTGTGTAATGAAACCGTCAAAAAGCAGCATGTTTTGTCCTGTCGTCTAGGACGCTTGTGACAAAACAGGACAAACACAGAGCAGATCAAATAGCTTCTGTTTTCGTGCGGAGTTCTTTCTCCAGCTTCCCTAAAGCCATTCTAACCACGGCACAGTTGGCAGACTAAGTCGAGCTCACCCAGAATACAACGAAATACAGTGAAAATGAATACTTTTCTCTGCCCTCGCGCCGTGTAGAGCACAGTGGTACGGTACAGAGTGTGCGAACACCAGGGAGACGTCGGCCATATTGTGCTGGCTTAGGAGAGGAGATCAGCCGAAAGCAGGCGACACGCCAAGCTCCTCTTCACGTTGTTTCCCTCTTTGTTTATCCCACACTTTTTACATCACTTCAACCTCTCATGTTTTCATTCCTCTCCTTCTCACTCAGTTCCCTCCTCTGACTTCTTCCCCCCTTCCTCTCCTCTCAGACCCCATTTTATTCCGTTCTGTGCCCTGGTGTCATCCCTTCCTCCCTCTCTGGTGGTCTGAACCCCCCTCACATCTTGCTGTGTCCTCACAGTCTAATAAGGCTGTAATCCACACAAGCTGTCAGTTGATACAAGCATCCCTTAAAAGGACAAAAGCCAAAAAACAAGGCGGGAAAAGTGGACAGCTAAAAATAAAGCCTCAGCTGTCGGGGTGAAAATGTGATGAGGGTTTTGAGGGAATGATATCAATGTGGCTATAAAGCCTTCTCCACACAGCATTACACAGAGGGGGGGGGGGGGACGTAACAGTAAACACAGTGAGGACGGACCCCCATTATTGCCAACACTCTGCAAATAAAGGTCATTAACGGTTTGTCAGAAGTAGAGGATTTTAATGTCAATCTTGTTTACATTTATTTTGTTCCTCCTTATTAATTAAATTCAGCGTAATTCAGTGATAGGCATATTTTATTTGTTTTAGAGCTCTTAGATGATTTGGTCTCCTTTGGTTTTGTATGTTATAATGCAGCATCATTAAGTCAAAGTCATATCACATTCATAAATACATCTGAATAGAATTAAGGCTAAAAAGTCATGCATTTTAAGATAAGATAAGATAAGGGAATGTTTGTAATCATTATTAAATGCCCCTCAGGTTTAAGTGTGTTTGTTTCTCTTGGTGTTAACACTAATTGTATACTAAGGATGCGTTCAGAAAAACAAAAGCTCTGTGTCGAACAAATAAATAAAACCACTCATAAGACAGCAGGGAGGCCAATGTAGCATTCCAGTAAGCAAAGGGAGACCTGGCAAAAAAGCAATATATATATTTACTACACAGCAATATTAATTAAAACCACAAATGGATTGTTTGGTGAATATACTTTACCAAGGACACCAATTGCTTCTTATGAAACACATTGCAGTCCACCTCTAATGAGATCTCAGAAGGAATTCTTCATGGCTGTCTTTATTACGAGAGGATTGTGTAACCACCAGATCAAGTCAGCAAAATAGACTAACTAGTGACTAGGCTTGGGCTGCATGAAGGTATCATAGCATGAACGGGGTATTTAGAAATCCCATATGCATGATTTTTTTATTCTGTGAAAAACACAGACGCTCCTTTTAGGGTTAAACTGATACAGAGACGCTCTTTCAGGGTTTCAGTTAGTTTGTCAATAACCCTAAAATATAAGCCTATATTCCTGCTACTACAGTATTTTTTTAAAAGAACATTTTAATTATCGAGAATTTTTGATCTC